CCCCCTTTTCTTTCTTCTCTACCCCAACCTTCTTTCCCCCCACATCCTCAAGTGCGGTAATGGAGTATGAGTTGTGTGTTTGGCCATGTTATCTGATGACGTAGTTCCTTAATTGCTCGTGCGAATGACCAAATATGGGTCAAATACAGGTTCCTTACCACCAACAAGTATCTTAAACTCATATTATCATTATCTCTATTTCTTTGTCGTTTCAGTTCCTGAGAATTTGCATCTTCAAGCGTGTCCACAATGCCCAACGTGACGTAATAAGACCACGTGACGTGCCTGTTCTAATGACTTTCATACCACTGATCTGATTGGGCAACTGCCGCCAGATGACATCATATCCAGAGGGCAAAGGTCCGGTGCGGAGAAGGATGTAGAAGCGCGGATAGTCTATCATGACGTCTTGTGGTCGTCCCTACGTAGTTTTCCCTGCAGCAGTTCGGAGTGCGACTCTAGCACTTTTCCTGGGGATTGTTCTGTCCCTGACTGTGCTGGACACAGCTCATGGTGAGTACACTCATCTCTCTCGCCCCTCCCCCCCCCCTTCCTCCGTCTCTCTATCTCTCTCTCTCTCTCTATCTCTCTGTCTCTCTGTCTCTCTCTTTCTCTCTGTATTTCTTTCTCTCTCGCTCTCGCCCTCCCCCCTCTCTCTCTCTTTTTCACTTTCTCCTTCTCTCACTCTCTCTCTCCTTCTCTCTTACTCTCTCTCTCTCTCTCTTCTCTCTCTCTCTCCCTCTCTCTCTCTGTCTCTCTCTCTCTCACTTCACGCTAACAAAATATACAAGCCTCCTCTACCTCGTCCTGCCCACTTTTCTTATTTCGGTTTGTGTGTGTGCCTTCAGGCATTTCTGTCTTGCGGTCTGTCCGAATATTTGTCTGCCTATGTGTCTGACACCCTGTACTTGCGTCTATCTTTCTATGTGTCTGTCGATCTATTTCGGTATTTGTCCATATTATTGTTTGTCTTTTTGCCTTCATCTCTCTTTCTCTCTCTCTCTCTCTCTCTCTCTCT